TAAGAATAGTTAAAAAATATGGTTTAACATCAAATTTAAACCATTTTTGGTTTAAATTTTAAACCATACTCTTATACTTTTTATTAAATTAATTTGAATTAATCTAAGATTAAAAAGTCCAATAATAAAGTGTGCATATAATTGACACAAGAAATTATTATTCATATTAACGATTTTAACTATAGTATGTCCCCATCAGGTGTCCCCCCAAACTTTTTGCTTATTTTAAAATGGTTAATCCCGTTTATACTCATAAAAATAGCAAAAAATATGACATTAATCAAAATTAATAAAGATCATATATCAGAGAATAAAGACCTAAAAAGGACATTACCATAAAACCGCGTTTTGATTTTTTGACTTTTGGAAATTTTATTTTTCTCTAAAACGGTATGGAAATTTGGAAATATACCGGGTGCGTCCCAAAAGTGTCCTATAACTTTTTTATTCTTTCAGATAAAAAAACGAGATTTGGTATATTAGTATATGATATAAATTAGGATTGATTGATGTATTCAATTGTATTTGATCACTTCCTATTTCACCGGAAATGACTACAGCTTTTGATTTTTAAATGGCACACTCGATATTTTTTTACTTTATTCGATAAAAAATGTCACTCTGAATAGAATGACATATCATATGTCAACTTTTGACATCCTCGCTTAATAAAAAATCGTATTTAGTATCGTAGTATTTAATCTAGAGTGCGATGGTTGTGTTAAAAACACTAATTCTTAATCAAGGAGCCTTGGAAAAATAGATTTGATCTTCTAATGTTTTTTAGTGTCTTGTCCTGACCAGCTGGAAAATGCTTAAATCGTATTTTTAATTGTATCTCAATTTTTTCAAATTGAACGAGAGTGGCTCATTAGCATATTTGGAAAAAGATTTTTTTTACGAATAATTTGATATCACACACTTGATATTTCAAGTCAGATTTTCGTTACGAACCACAAGTTATAATTTCAAATAAAAAATATGCGAAAATGTCAAAAAATGCCATATGTTATTCTATTCAAAATGTTATTTTCTAACGAATAAAGTAAAAAATTACCGAGGGTGTCATTTAAAAATTAAAAGTTGTAGTAATTTCTGGTGAAACAGGAAGTGACCGAAAACAATTAAATACAATCAATGAATCCTAATTTATGTGATATACTAACATACCAAATCTCGTTTTTTTAACTAAAAAAAAATAAAAAAAGTTATAGGGGTGAGTCACTTTTGAGACGCACCCGGTATAAACGGCATTAATCGTTTTAGAACAAGCGTTTTCTTATCGATAATGCGTTTTTCTTAAATGTTTATAATAAAGTTTTCTCTTTAGAAACGACCCGAGGACATACTGTTCAACATGGGAACATAATACATTAATTTTAACTATCAAAAGTCCAACACCTCTTTACTTTTGATGATATCTGCATGGTTATATCCCGATAATTTATATTATTCTCCAAAATTTCTCTAAATATAAGCCACACAACGAACCATTTTTTAATATGCAGTACAAAGCGCAAATTTGAGAAAATTTAAAAATAAATCTGGCAACGTCCATGTTGTAAATATCAAGGTTATATGACGTTGAACATCCGTATCGCTTATTTTCATTATACCCTGGTATAAAGAATATATAAACAAGGATTATACTTACTACGTGACTACATATCTACTACGTGACCACCGACGCGACCGACGCGCGACGTGACTATTGAATTTGAAATTCTGTTGAATTCTAGAGTGTTTATGAATATAACAATAAAAAGAATATTACCTATTACTCGATATACAAAAAGATTCGCAAGAATGTCCTCAGGTCTTTCATACATTGACGTTCCCGAAAATTGCCAGCCTAGTAATTTGTTTAAACAATGGGCTGATGATTATAAGAAATATACGCACTCAGGAATAGTTTTATTTAACTTAGCCACATCATTCAAGTAAGTAAAACATATTTTACGATTATACTTTCTGCTTAAGGCATTTTATCAATTTAAAATGTTTATTATATTTCCAATATAGACAACCAGATATACACCTTACATATACCGACTGTGTCCAATTTTTGATTTAACATTCAAACTGATATACCGGGTGTACTGAATTATATTTTCCAAAATTCTAATGTAATCAGCATGGAAGTTTTTCTTTTCATTTTCTGCATGGTTGTAATATTATATTGGAAATTGTGTATGGTAACTGGTAACATTAGGGCTGAAAAAATATACTTATCTAAGATCTAAGCAGTGGCAGTGAACAACGCTTGTTTTGTCTTTTTGTGATTGAGGCATTATCATGTCTATTTTTGAATATTTTTTTATTTCTACGTATATATTCTCATTTATATTTAGCTTTATAAGGGCTTTATTAAATACAGGGTGCAAAATAATTTCTGAACCGGCATGAAAATTATTGGTGTCTGGATGTTTTTAGATATAATCAATTTGATTTCGATGTCAATATGACTTCTACTTCTACGGGACCCCACCTACATACTTTTTAACTGTTTTGAAGCGTACTGTGACTTTTATTCTCTTATTAGTAATTAGTAAAAGTGTGCAGGTCATTTACTGCCGATTAAAAGTTGTATCTTGATATTTTGTACATTTTGATCTCCTCGATGAGATAAACGCAATTTTATTAATTACAATTAATAAAATTAAGATAAAAATAAAATTAATAAACTATTTATACAGGGTGAGTATTAAATAAGTGCAAATATTTTTGGAGTGAGTACATTTAGAAACTGGGATTATGAGTTTTTTTGCGAAAAAAAAATCTGAAAATTTGGAATTTTTTGAAAAAAAATTTGATTTTTTTTAGTATTTGGTTAAAAAACATAATTTTTTGGATGCCCGGTGGCGTAGAGGTACAGGCTCTCGTCTACCAATAACACAGTAGTGGGTTCGAATCCCACACCCGGCATTTCATCAGCCGACTATTTTTATTAAAATAAAAATAGTTTGGGTACCTAGGTCGACTCAGCCTTAAATGAGTACTTAGAGTTCACAATCCTGAGGTAATAATAGGCGGTTGAAGCGTAGTGCCCAATACATTACCTTCCTTGTATACCAGACAGCTCTATTATGGCAAGCTGGCACCTTGCTACTCCCAAAGGCGTTGAACTATATACAGGAGCTATTATTTTATTAACATAATTTTTTAATGATATGGCAACATAGGTAGTAGAATAGAGTTCTCAAAATTTAAGCAAAAAATATTTTTTTTTGAAATTTTCAAAGTAAATAAATAACTCTTTTAACTTTTTTTTATATTTTTCGATGAGGAATCAATGAGTGGTACTTATTTAGCATTTTGGCAAGTTAATCACAATAAATGTTTTTAAAGTTTACTATAGTCTGTTCAACGAGAAGATCCTTGACAGTGATATTTATGTTTCTGTCATTTTAATTTCAAAGTAGTTTATTTTATTTTACAAAGAAATAAGTTGGTACAACTGGAACGCATAACAGGAAATCAATATATTTAAAATTTGACTGACAAGTGATTACTTCAAAATATTATGTAAAAAACTGTATAAAACTGAAAAAATGTAACCGAGTTATTTTATTTAATAAAAAAACGGTATGTGCTAATACAAAACAAACAAGAGCAAGACACCCCATACCAAAAAAATATAAAAAAGAACTATTTCTTACTTTCAAGCTGTATGAAACTTCTCGAATTTATGATTATATTTATCAATATAACTTATGTAAAAATAGAAATTTGTAATATTCCGCAGGAATAAATAAAACAACATGAATAAAACAAACTATTTTATTAATAATAACACTTACCAAATTTTATACCTTAAAGGTTGATTAATTAACATTAATCTTAATTTTTTTAAACCAGTACCTTTTGACATTATTTTCCTGCAGTACTAAAATCCATTATTTACCTATCGTATGATGTCGATATTTTACAGCTACTCTAGTTTTTAGTATGTGTTTAGTATGGACCACATTCGAGATGCACTTATCTACGACGAGATGGTATACGAACTTTATTGATGGCTAACTTAGTAACTTTATTGGTGTATCTGTATAAGACTTTCTGCCTGGGTAGCGAGAATTAACCATAAACTGTGCTCTGGGTCTACAGTTAATTTTCACTCGATTTTTCCTCCACTTGACTTCAAAAGACACAAAACACACGTAATAACACGAATCAAAATGCATCATCTTCCAAAACGCAGGGTATTTGACAAAAGATGTCACAAAATTATAAATTATAACCAAAGATTATAACCTATAATTTGGCAAGACTTTGACAAGCGTCAAAAATCTAAAGTCGAGTTCATACGCATCGGCGTCCGTTTTTCGTTCATCGTTCCGTCAAACCAATAAAATTGAAATACGATCTGTCATTTTTGAAATAAACCAATAAAACTGGTTAAAACAACAAGAGACGACGCATGACGGATTTATATTTAAACCCATCCATAGTTAACTTAAAAATTATTAGAAACTTTTTTTAGTAAAATAAATAGATTGGTATGGGACGTCATCTGCTTTTCTTCTGTCATCGTCTGTCGAATCTTACCTGAGAAAAAAAAACAGGAAGTATATTATGTTAGAATTGGATTAATTCAAAGTAATTATTTGCGTTTATCCTCATCGAGGAGATCAGGAAATGGACAAAACCATCAGGAATACAACTTTAATCGACATTAAATGGCCTACACACATTTGCTGATAAGAGGAAAAAAAAGTCAGTGGCGCATATTTTTTAGAAAAAATATTCCAGTGACAATCCATATACGTCCCTGGTGAATAAGTCGACATTTTTTAGCATTAAAATATGCCGCACTTATATAACTTAACTTTAACCTACAGTTTAAAGATATATTCTTTAAAAATTATAATAAATCGAAAAAATCTGAACTGGTCTCTTGTAGGGCAATAAATCTTATTTTATAAGAAGAAAACTCTCCCACGAGAGATGGCAGATGTTTATAAGAAACGCTATTTCAAATTCTAATTTGTGTTTTTTAGAAACGGGGATGTGGCTAACAGAACTTTGGCGCTCCAAGAGATTTCCGATGATGATGGTCTAATTTTTCATGCCAAATTCAATAGCTTGAAGGTGAAACAAATAGTAAGTGATACTTGAAACACTCGTTTTTTATATATCAACTGATAATTTAACTTTGCAGGAAGAGAATCCTAAAGCTTCTGTAAGTTTTTTGTTTACATATACAAATGAAACATATAATAAGAGAATATCACAACAGGTATGTATTTGTTGCAGTTTATGACATGAAATGAAAAAACAATTTTGTTGGTGGATACGTTGTGTGTTTGAATGATTACTAAACATTAAATTACTGTAGGAACAATGATATTTCTTTGTCAAATATTTAAACTACTTATCACATGAAAGAATTTTGAAGCTTTTTTTGAAAACTAGACCGGGTGCGTTTCAAAAGTGGTTCGCCCCTATGCTTTTCTATTTTTCAGATAAAAAACGAGATTTGGTATGCTAGTATGTGATATAAATTAGGATTGACTGACGTAGTCAATTGTTTTCAGTCAGTTCCTGTTTCACCGGAAATATCTACAACTTTTGATTTTTAAATGACACTGTCGGTATTTTTTACTTTATTCGATAGAAAATGACACTTTGAATACAATGAAATATCATTTATCAACTTTGACATTTTTGCATAGAGTTTATTTGAAATTGTAATATGCGGTTCATAACGACAATTTGACTCGAAATGCCAAGTGTGTGGTATCAAAATATTCGTAAAAAAATGCTTTTTCCAAATATGCTAATGAGCCACATTCCACCTGAAAAAATTGAGATATGAATAAAAATACGATTTGGGCATCTTTTAGCCCGCCAGAACAAAACACTAAAAACATTAGACGATCAAATCTGTTTTTCCAAGGCTTCTTGATTAAAAATTAGTGTTTTTAACACAGCCATGGCACTCTAGATTGGAATTTAAAATACAATTTGTTGAGCGAGTATATCAAAAGTTGACATATGATATGTCATCCGATTCAGAGTGTCATTTTCTATCGAATAAAGTAAAAAAAAGTTAAAAATCAAAAGTTGTAGTCATTTCCGGTGAAACCGGAAGTAACCGAAAATAATTGAATATGTCAATCAATCCTAATTTATGTCATATACTAACATACCAAATATCGTTGTTTTATCTTAAAAAAAATTATAAGTTAGTCTATTTTCATAAAGTGGCCCATGCTAAAACTTAATGTTAAAATAAAGAACAGTCCAAACCACTGCCAAAAAATGTCTACCACTTGATGAGCCACTTTTGAGACGCACCCAGTAGTATTTTCTAGAGTATATCTGTGACTGTTACATTCTTTTTTAGGTTCGAATCAGAAGGCTTTATAGAGAAACTGCCCCCCATCTTACAGCGATAAGATATTCGAAAAACAACCGTTGTTTGCCAAACTTCAGTGTTCTTATTGAAGAACAGAAGTGTACCCGTGTGTGGGAAGAGCTAAAGAAGAAACATGACGATCTATTGGACAAAGTAAACAAGGAGAGATTAAATTGAAAACACCAAAACAATTGTGAGTATCACTGGCTTGTTGAGGCATATTATTTAATACATAATTTTTTATTTTTTTTCATTTATTTTTCAAAGTGAAATTTATAATCTGAACTTTATTGCACGTATGATATTAATGAACTATCTTTTATTTTGTTTTATACCACTGTTAATATTTTTTAATTTAATTTTTAATTTTATATGAATTTTACTTTATAGGGTTTTATACAAAATTATGCCTGTGAAGTACGATTTCTACCATGCCAATGAGAATGAAATTGGAGACAGGATACTTTTTTCCAAATCCAAAGATGATAAGTGGGATCATTATCATGTTACTGCCTAAGATTTTTGTTCAAATAGATCGACAAATAAAATGTGTTTTAAAACAGTTTAGAACAGTGCTCGCATTTTAAGAAGGAGCCAGGATCGTTATCAATATTTTGCCGGTGAAGGGCCTCCCTGGCATTAGGCCGGTCCATAGTGCACCGGCTTCCCTCCTGCTTTTACCAGGATGAATTACTGTTAATTGTAATGTTAATATTTAATTAACAGTATTTTTATATCAGTAGTATTTTTTGTATCAGTTTAATGTGAACGTTATCACTAGCTTATAAAAAGACATAATAGATCCCCACGGGATAGTTCTCTGATGGCCAAGTGATATTACCTACTACTGCTATTACTTGCTGACGTAGGCGTTTTCTTTCATCAGCTTTTCTGTGACTGAAAAGCCCGATACGTGATGTTATCTCTCTTCCGCACTCCGGATATTAAAAATCTCGATCATTGCTTTGTTGCCTCTTTACTTTTAGGTTGTCGCTGTTAACTAAGTTTACTATTCTTCTCCATTGCCTTCTATTGTGCGCTGCTTCTTCCCACTCATTCTGCATGTTTATACCCTTTAAATTTTCGCGGAAAATATCTTTGTACCTTTAAGTAGTAGTGCTCACCGCAAAGCAGAGATTTTGGTAGGCGGTTTTCTTGCATTCTGCATACGTGACCAGCCCATTTTAAGCGGGAATTTGTAATCATGACTTTAACGCTCTCGCAGCTAGCTTTTTCAAGTACCGGTACGATTGCGAAATTATATTCCCGCTTCCTGTAAGCGGTTGTTAATGGCCACTACCTTTAATGGCGCAGGTTCACAGAGCGATAGGATCTGCCGCGAAATAAGCCGGCCGGGCTACCGGAAAGAGAGAAGCCGGTGCACTATGGACGTACCTTTAGACAGTACCGCGCGAATTATTTTGAAATATTATTTTATACCGTTCGAATAAAAATATGTCTCCTGGCTCCTTTTTTAAATGCATCCACTCTATAGCCATCTACTAACGTTTTAGAAAAATAAATATAATGAAGAAAAGATGTTATCGTGGGGACTATAATAAAAAAGAAGAATGAAATTATTGGGCAACCCACAGTAATTTCATTCTTCTTTTTTATTAATAAACATAATATAATTTGACTAAAATATAGTTTTTTTGTACAATTTAAATATTATTGTTAAATATAAAAATGTATTAAATATAAAAAATATAAAGTTATGTTGGAGTTTTTCTTTTTTGTAGGGTCAAGTGGTGTAAAAAAGACGATATTGATACAATTACTGAAAACTTATATTCAGTCAGTTTTCTTGCTAGGGATATTTAGCCAATAATTATTAACAGATAATCCCTATAATTTGTTTAATATTTGTGTGACGAATTATGGAAAAACTGAAATTACAAATCCATTGTCTCGTTTTGAGGTTTAAAACATTTGAAGCTGACTACCATAGAGAAAGTAATAAAAATTATTATCTTTCTCTATGCTGACTACAAAATTTTTGTCGGGTGACATCAGTATAAAGTAGTCAGCGTTGTACTCCTGTCGTCTTATGCCTATAGATAGGAGAAGGTATATGGTTTAGAAAAAGAGTTTAGAACCTAGATCATATTATACTTACGTGGATAAGTAAATCACTATGGAAACTGTCGCAAACATATCAACTTCTTCATTCTTATCGTTCTTCTTCTCTCAACAGACTTCCATTTACCCTATCTTCCCCGACCTATCCTCCATGCGCCAAATTTGAACATTAATTTTAAAAATTTAATTTGTAAAATGCATATACTTGAACAATAAATTGAATGTTTATTGTCACAAAAATTAAATTATATAAAAAAAAAACATTTAGTCACTCCGTACGAATATTGATATTTTTCCAAAAATTCCAAATTTTCAATTTTTTTTTCGTGAAAAACTTCATAGACGTGTGTTTCTTGGATAGACATATACTACCCCTAAAATATTTGCACTTATTTAAGACTCACCCTGTATAAACTACTCAAAACAATTATCGCAAACACAGTCCCTGACTTACAATTTTAAATAATATACGGATATTGTGAAGGGAAATTCGATACAATAAACCTACGCGCTAACCAGTAATTTTTAGTCGGCCGACTATTTAGTTGTAAAAGTGAAAACAATATATACTTATGGAGCCGATCGGCCGACTAGTTGATTGCATGTGAACGCGGCTCCATAAGAATATATTGGCACAGATAACACCACATTGGTTACGAATACGCAACTAAATAGTCGGCCGATTAGAAATTGCTTGTCACGCATGCTTCATTTAGAAATATGTAATAATTACTTTTATTTAAATATGCGATAATTGTTTTGAGTAGTGCATTTTCAATGGTTTCGATGCACTTGCACTTTCAGATTTTCCTAATGAGTGCTGCGTTGCCATAATTTATTTATTCTACCTACTTTTAACTTAATCTGCCTTTTATGATAAACATAATCTTAATTTAATGCCTATGTGCGCCTACAGTGTGACGAAAAAGACCGGTATAGTTGTTCCCTCGTGATTTTTCTAACGCCGAACACGATTTCCTGGAAGCAAAGTTTTTTTTTATAGAAACAGAGAGCTCGCAATAAACAAAAGAATTTAAATTATCTAAATAACTTATATTGATATTGTTCTTTTATATGCCGCTAAAATACATTTAATTAAAAGTATAAGAGCAATACCCCAGTCAAATTAGTTAAAAAAAGGTCCATCGGTGGAATTTAAACTATTTCTCTAGACTTGGACTGATATAAGTCCCCGAAGATAGACGTTGAGCTCGAGGAGTGGGGAGAGTTAATCAAAATTAGTAAGAGAATGAAAACCTAAAAAGTTCTTCCGTTCGGTCTGTCGTCGAGGCAGCATCGTATGTTGTCTGATGGCTGATTGTTCGGGAGTCCAAGTTGTTATTCTGAAGATACAATTGTAATCGTTTTATAAAAGTCTATTATTTTTTGTGCAAAAGTGTTTTAAATTGTGTCCGTTGTCTCATTTCAGATACATATTTTTTGTGAAATCATTTATTAAAAGAAATCTTTTTTTCACGTTGTCACGGGTGTAACCAGGCCCTATGTAGCCGGATGCTACCAGCGTGGGAGAAGAGAAGGTCAGATTGATAATTATTTTTAAAGACAACCTTTTTTCACGTTGTCACGGGGGTAACCAGACCCTATGTAGCCGGATGCTACCAGCGTGGGAGAAGCATTCGGATTGATATAAGAAGTTTTT